CGGCGCGCGCCCCCGCCCGGCCAATGGCGGCGCGGGGCCGCGGGGCCGCCCCTTCTGTACGGCGGCCGCGCGCGGTCAGCGTCGCCATGGCAACCGCGCGGCGCGGCCGCGGCCCCCCGAGCGCAGCTCTGCGAACGGGCAGCGTCTGGGTCTGACATGAACCTCGGGGAAGCTGCGGGAACAGATGGTGTTTCCAAGTGCTACACGCGAGGTTTTCGATTCGGAAAGGCAAATATTGAGCGCTGCGCCACAAACACGCTATTGGGAGAGCGGCACGCAGAGATGCTCCTTCGCTTCCCCTTCAAACAAGTGTGGTCGCGATGCAGTTCCCGAGGCAGCGTGATCCCGGTGAAGGTGATGCCTGGCACCGTGACAGGTCACAAACACTGAGGGCACTGTGTTATCCCAGCCTCTGTTTTGCAGTACACGCCGCTGAAACAGATTTGAGAATTGCACAGCACGAGGCTGGCAGATCAACACCTACTTGAGAAGGTAAAATAACACAATTTTAGTACCTTGTACGTGACCTAAAAATTGGTGTGAAATATATCCTTGGGAGAGAAACAGCAGAAAGGATGGAAGTATCTCTGCTCTGCCGAAATGGTGAAACATTAGCCCTGGCAAAAGAACTTCACTGGATCTTCCTTCTTTTACAAAAAGGTTTACCTGGGAATTGGTATCAACAGCAGCAGATGACACTGCAATAGCTTGATCTGATGTTTGAGTCATGGCCCAACTCAAAGGACACCAGTTGCCTCTGCACAGACTGAGCAGTGTGATGGCAAAGGTCCTGTGTTATTCCAGCAGAGCTTTCTCATGTTTAGCACCACAACCCACCTGAACTCCACTCCCAGACTGACTTAAAAACTGTACATAAAACACCAAACATTCAGAAAAAAATACTTCAGCAAAAGCAAGTATTATTTCACATGTACCAAAGTAATTTTCAGGTTGTTAGTTAGGTTAAATAAAAGGCAGCTGTAAAATTCAGTAGATGTAAGTGCAGGCCAATGAGACCTTCAGGAATATGTTTCTTGTGGAAACCAAGAACCAGTTACTGCAATGCTCAATAAATCAGTTCTATGATAATTTGGCAAGACTTAATCAGAGCAGCCAGTTTTATTGGGACTGACAATACCTACAGAAGTTGGTATTACTTTTAAGATTAGTAAAATTTTATCGCCAAACAGCAAAACTTGGAGGTCAGGTGCTGTATAAATCTCTTTTGGTTACTGCAGTAGGGTGAGTGCTGCTCTCCATGAGGCTCTGGCAACAGGAGCTACAGGACCTGAGGCATCCCAAGTGCATCCAGGGAGCTGCTGTAAGGCTGGGGCTGTGTCAGCTGCAGTGAGTCAATAACGAGCACACACAGGACTGTACAGGAAGGCTGGACACAACAGGTCAGTTTTTTATTAACCAAAAGTGAAGCTGAACCCCAGAGTGGTTTAACTTGTTAAAACCATATGGTTTTATATGGCAGATATTTTTCTTTCATGTTCAACACTACAGTGCAAGAACCAAACTTCGCAGCTGTTCATCCTTTGAGAATCAAGTACTAAAAGTAAAATGAATTAAAATAAGGGTCCCTCAATGAATTAATTAAAAAAAACATTTAACTCAAAAGAACATACCAATTTTAAGAACTGTCTTATTAAATTTTCCCAAGTGAAAGACCTTTAAAAGCACTTGGAGCCTTGAGGTAGCAACTTTATGCAGAATTCAATTCCCCTCCTGCCCCACAGAGGAAAATTAGTAGCGCATTATTAGCTCCAGCCAGCTAAGCTGAGTGTCTCCTGTGAGGTTAGTGACTTTCTCTTGCCTCTTGAAATAGCAGTGGAGTGCTGCAGAGCTCCAGGAGGAAATCCACAGGGAAGGCCTCTTGAAATAAAATATATGGTTTGAAAAAAGTTAAAATGATCAGCAATAACCATAACAACAAAAATTATCTGGAGTGAAAAAACCCAACGTGTTTGTATTTTGGCAAGACTAGTTTACAAATACATGTCAAGAACAAGAGTCTGCTTTCAGCCAACAAAAAAGAATGGAAGTGACATTCAAAGGGATTTCGGGTTTTGTTGCCCTCTGTGCAAAATTGCACTTTGTTTTTAAAGTTTTAAGTTTTGCACTTTTGTTTCTAAAAATAGAGCACTTTTGCCCTTTTTTGTTCTTTTACATTTTGAAACCTGTGCTGTGACATTAGACAGAAATACCATATGCCAGGATATTTGACCACTGAAAGCTCCTCTCACTGACTTCACCACAATCACAAGCAGGGAATCACAAACAGGAGACTTGTCTTCCTCTAGGTCTCGAAGACATGATCCTCTGTGCCCACTTTGCTGCTGAGTTCTTTTATTAAAAACTAGATCTCTCTCTAGTGCCAATTTCAGAGACTCCATGGCAGATTTACGGAACACTGAGCAGTAACAAAACACCTGGGCTTGTTCTCTACAACACCTGCAATGAACAGTCAAAGTGAAAAGGAATGAGCTGAGATACAGCTCAGTTCATGGAGCAGGATGGGGCAGATGGTCACAAACAGGTGCTCCACTTACTCCCTGGACCACTCACACCTTCCAGCTTTGCTCCCTGCTGGTGCTCTAACCAGATTCCTGCCAATATTGAGTATCTCACCATCTTCATGCTCCAAAACTGTACAGAATAGGTTAGTTAAACCACACCAAACTAATCAGGCATATTGCACATTATAGCTCTTAAATGGATGAGCTTTCTTAGCTCATTCTCTTTCAGCTCAAGGTCAGCTGCCTTTCTACACCATGGAATGCTGCTGCACAGGCCCTGGGTGCAGGATAGCATTGCCCACTATGCCTTTGCTCCAGGGAGCCCAGAGAAACGCAAAACTTCAAACGCTTGTTCTTGCTCACATGGGATCCTAATTTTCTGATTTTATATTCTCATCTTTTCCTTTGAAGCCATCAAATCCTCCCTTCCAGGCAGATATATCTCAAGAATCTAACATCTGCCTTGCCTGGTTTTTGGTTAAGCTTCAGAACAACTGTCCATGTTTGCCTGTAATGAGGTTACAGTCCTGTCCTGCAAGAGAACCAAAGGCTGTAAGAACCAGAATCCATCTGTAAGGCAGCCCAACCTGCCAGGCTCCTTTGGATAAAGGAGAGGATATTCTGCCTGGGAGCAACAAAGGCCAGCTGGTGATTATTCACAGCAATTTTCTATTTAGTTCACATGACAGTTTAGGCAGCACAGAAACTCATGCTGGTTCAGAGACCGGTTTATGTCTGGTTCACAGGACAGTCACGAGCTGGCTTCAGAAGGACTCTTGTCATGGACCCCGAAGTGTCTTAAAGTTAAATCTGTTATCACTGCAAGAACCTGATGAGTGGGTTTTTTTTCATCTCTTCTCGGGATTTTTTTGTTTGTTTGTTCTGAGTTTCTTAGGGGTTTTGTTTGCTTTTTAATTCTGTAATCAAAAGAATTATTTTTGTCTTTGGTGTTAAACCTTGGAAGCATGAATGAGAAGTACCTGCTGCTTCTTTGGCTGTAATTTATGACAAAGAAACAGCCCAGGAAAGCAAGGGAAATTCACTGTTCTAAAATACATGCAGTTAGAACAGCCACTAGACATCACAACCAGGACTTTAATAATATGGAAACACCAAGATCAGTGGTGTCCATTACAAATCATTTGCATTATATAAAAATATGACTGAAATTACAGTAACTGGACAACAGCCATTCAAATTGATCAACTTTCCATCTTGCTCATATTGCAGGAAATGGGAGGAAAATCCATTGGGGGGGGCAGGGAAGTGTCCAGAAATCAACTTAGAGTTGCTGCTAAGCATCTCGTGCCTCAGAGAAACATCCACTGTGATAACTAAAAGCAGGAATTCAAGATTAGCATCCTTCCATTCTTGCTCACATGGCCATGAATAAAAAGAGCAGGTTCTGTTACACTAGCATTCACAATTAAAATTTTATAACCCCATAAAACACCAGTACGTTTTGCATGAGCTGCGGAAGAATGCAAATTCAAAGGGTCACTAGATTTATTACCTCCAAAATCAATGTCTTAATATAAATATTCTGTTTGTACACCATAAAAATGTCCTTCTTATGGTCTGATTCTTATTTAGATAATACTCTGATAAAATCTCAGCCGTATGCCAATTAAGGTCATTAAAGCTATAGAAACAAGAATCTACCTAATAAATGCTGCAAATTTAACAGGTATTTTAGATAAACATGATTAGCTTAGTTATCACCTAGACCAAAAAGACTCCTCAAACACACCAACTGCGTAGTTAGCAAAGACATTTGCTTTACAAAGTCAAATGTTGCCAACTTTTGAAAAGTTTAGCAAATCAACGTGGTATTTGGAAGCATCCAAGTGTCTAATGAAGTTAGAATACTGTGAAATGTTAGGACTGGGGGAAGCTCCTGTAAACAAGTACAGAAGTAGTCTTCATTTAAATTACAAAACATTCACCTCCTTAAAAAGCTTTAAAACTGACCCAGTCAACAACTGTGCCCTGGGAAATCTAGCAGTATAAAGGATCTCTGTAAGCAAGAGAAGGTCATACGTTGTGATCTCACCACCATAAAATGTACTCAGTGTCAGGAACAAGGAGCAAGTTTGGGGAGATGACAATTATGACACTTTTAGGCCATTTGATCTGAACCACTGCACTTTTTTGGGCAGCATAGAGTAAAACAATTTTCTTTGCTGCTCAGAAAACACTTAAAATATAGTAATGCTTCATTTTCCACATTTGGTTGCTAAGCAGACTCTCCCATGTCCCCAGCTCGGTTTACTTGGTTTAAAGAGCTGTTTAGTACCTGCCACTTTCAGCAGGTGGACAGAAATTTCAGTGCCATCTTATTCACTGGCTCCATTGATATTTTAACTTCAAACCCAGATGCTACAATTAAAAGTAAATTTGACATTGTGTAAGGAAAGCATCAGATGAAGGTAATAAGCCCATAAAAGGCCTGTATTCCACAGGCTGCCTCTGCAGAACAGGCAACCTCCCACTACAGAATCTGATTGGAAAATTTATCCCAACAGTAACACCCAGAAGGAAGGAGGCTTCTATATCTTGCACACTTTGGGTTTCATATCAGGCACTTGAACTGTTGGACAGATGCCATTCTGAACCAAGTAAGTGAACATAGGGTTAGAATCATCTTTTAATCTAGGTCTAATAATGAAGTATCAGCAGCAAAGTGGAGGCAGGGAGTGAGCAATCCATCTGTGCTGAGACTTGTTTATGGTTTCTAAAATGCCCAAGAAAACAGCAGCAGTAACTGTTCCATAGTGTCCGTTGTCCTTGTGAGTTGTGTTGCTGATAGGAGGCTTTTCTGTGTCTTGAACTAAGAAGGCATTGAGGTACCCTGTGCCTAATTCCCTGGATCCAACAGGTCCATGCTAGAGCCAAACATTGCCACCAGTTGCTCCTCATAATGCGTTATATTCCTCTTCATAATGTCCATGCAGGGTCCAAGCAACCGCTCAAATGCTTGCACATCCATGACTGCAAAGGAACAGAGGTGAAAACACGATCATTTGTCAAAAAGGACATCACACACCAATCTGGCTTTTAAACTCAGAACAGACCTCCAGTCCAACCCACTCAGGTCAGAAACAGAAATCATGTCTCTGATTTCCCTCTGTACTGTTATTTGTAGAAACAAGATTAATGAAATACAAACCTGACCTCAAGGACAAATACAGAAGCAAAAAATACATC